TAACTCAATCCAAAAGTCCTAACTGTATAAAGCAGATTCTACAGCAGCAAAAACATATTTGATCAACTTCATGACAGAAACATGGCATATAATCCAAAACCCAATTTGGACAAACAATTTTCCCAAATCTAACTATGAGATCAATTTTCTATTGTGCAAGAACAAGCACATATATTGATTCATATCCAAAAAATAATCTTCCACGACCATCTCTCAGTCTATCACCCTCATATGTAGATCTCGACAATTGTCAAATAGACATTCACAGGACAAAGAAGACAGAAAAATATAAACCTCCTTGAGCGGATATATACTAAATTGACACTAGAAAACAAGAAACTCTAAGCTTGCTTCTGAAGCTTAGTAACCATGATCTACCATTGCAATCAAGTTCAAAGAAAGGTTGTAAGCAATGCTTAGTTGCTGTTTAAGGTCCATCTCTGCCTCTCACCCAAAGCACATCAAAAGCAATGGAAACAGGAACCAGAAGATGCCAAGATTTAAAATCCACTATTACTACATGAAATCACTAGAAACATATTGCTGGTGTTGGTGGTTTAGAAAACTTTCATTTCAAATGTCAAAAAGCATTTGAAAAGAAAGAGATTCCTATTGTGATTTATTAACATTGACAGCTTACAAACAGCCAAAATCCCCTGTTTGACACTAATCTCTACAAGCTATAAGAGATTTCGAGTTTCTTCTACAGTCAGACACAGGGAAGGGCGGAAGAAAATGAAAAAGCATCAGCTTAAGCGACATTCGTTTAGCAAAGTTTGGGCTGAATCATTGCAAGGTAGCATTGAAGACTAAAAGATAATACCCTGATATAGTAGCTAGGCAACGAAACAAACACTAGCTGTATAAGATGCTCCAGAAACTTTAACAGGAAAAAGTAAATCAAACATATTATCGTAGTGGAATACAAAACAGACAACATTTTTGGCTAGAAGCAACAGGGCTGATGCAGAAATACGCTTCCATGAATTCAATTTCCTTGAAACTTCAGGAGTTTCTGAGGACTACTGTGACCAGAATAGAACAAGTAAAAACAATATGTCTAACTTAAAAACGTAAAGCATCCAAATGGAAGAAGTGCACGAATGTCCAACTAATAAAAGAAAGTTATCTTCTTAACCTGAGAATGATCAAGGTTAGCATTATAAGGGGTGATTTTGGCATCCTTTTTTGCTATCATAGGTGGCCTCTCTCCAAACAATACAGGAACCAAGTCAGCAGCAGGGCCCTTTTGCACTCCTTTACTCAATTGTACTAATGTGTCTTTCATCCGCCGATATGTAACCTACCAAAATCCGTAACTGCACTTGTAAAGAACTCCCTAATTTGAGGAATAAGTATGTAACCTGTTCCTCATTCGGGTAACTTGAGATAGCATAATTCTGATGACTTATCATTGACAGTTCATCAAGGTAAAAACCTCAGAAAACATGCTTATATAGCAGTCTCAACATTCAAAATCCTTAAATTTATTATCAAATTGACTTGAAATCTAAAAGCTTAATCTCAAGCAGAATAATGAAAACTCATAACAAATATACAAGATAGAAAGAATAAAAGAATCAGAGTTCTGTCACTGTGATTTTTTTGCAGCATCATTGGAAAGGAAAAGGGGAAAGTGTAATTGAAATTTTTAAGAAGATTTTCTATTTCTTTTTTTTTTTTTAATTCTTAAAGTCTATGAAAAAAAATCATTATTGAGTGCACCTCATTTGCCACTTTCTCTAAGCGTAGAGGACTATTTAAACCATCTTCAGGTATGTCATCAAAAGCCACCGTAATAGATGAATCCTGATCAGATCAAAATCATCATCAAAAGCGAATAGTGCCACTAATTAAAGAAACTACTACACGTCAAGTGCACAGCCAGAAATTAGACAAGTTCCACATCTAAAGTACCTTAAGTCTGTAAACAACACCCTGTCCAAGGGAAGGAGAGCCGGGGTCAGCCTTGTTTGGCTTCAAAATCACAACATCATGGGGGCCAAACTGCAAGGTGAAGTAATTGTCACCAACTGAAGAACAGATTTTAAAAAATCAAGAGAAATCAAAACTTTGAGCATGAAAGAAATTTGTTTGCTACATCACTGTGAGTCATCCAAAGAACCATTTCAATACCATATCAATTTGTAGCATACCAGAAGGCGCGTAATCAATGTAAATTCTAAAAAATTCCAAAGTTAAATGGAACAGAAGCGCTCAGGAAGATAGAATAGTGTACTGGCTGTCTATATGACACACAAGCAAATAAAAAACCAATATCCAGAACTAGTATGACCTCCTCAAGCATGTACAAAACTAGTTATTTTCGATTTTTTGTTCTAGTTCAAAGCACATATTTTCATAGAAAACAGAAAAACACATACAGCAGTAACTAGCATGCAAGAAAATCAATGACATAATCAATTTGAGAAGGTTAACCACATGTTTCTTCCACCTTAAATTTAGCAGGTTCGCTTGCATAGTGCAAATGAAGAAGGCAAGAATTGCTTTATATCCCACAATATATCATTATAAGAAAGATTCCATATACAATGACTCACTTTGTGAGCAGGAAGAACATCCCCTTTATTGGACTGCAACTCCAGAAGAGCCTTGCCCATTAGCCCTGTCTACAATTAAATGCAACATTCATACCATGTTTTATAGCACAAAATCCTGTCTTACTCAACACATGATCTTCACCGCATGGGGAAAAAAGTAGTACCTGAACATCTACGCACTTCAAATTAAGAATAGTGGATCCCTTCTTCTGAGAAGTCTCCAAATTCCTTGTTGCACCAGAGCTCATTGATGCAGATATCTCAGCTTCCTTAAACAATAACATATGCATCACTGTAAATAAAGTGAACATGCTGCATTCTAACCATTCCAGAAGGTTACAGTCGGATCCAGATATATTTGAAAAATAATAGCAAATATATGCATTTACATGTGGAATGCGCGTCTCATAAGAAATACACAACATCCTAATTGCATGTAAGAGAACATCGTAATTGCATGTTACAGGATTAGAGAAACTAAGTCTTGGACTGAACAATACAGATAAACAATCAGAACTAGCCTATACTGGAGACAACGGTTACTTTCTAGCGTTAACATGCATTGTCATTATCGGGATTTTGAATAAGACGACCTTTATCGTTTAAATTTTTTAATTTTGAATTTATCAAAAAAGTATGGCAGTACATTCATTTAGAATTTCTACCCTGATTATCTGCAAATAAAGTACATCCTCAATCATAAAAACAAAAAAAACAAAAAAGTAAACCTCTTTTTGTACCTTTTACCCACAAAGAGAGCTTAGGCTAGAAAAATCAAGTTGCTTTGATCGTGTTTGAGGCCTATTAGCCACACTCTGCCTATATCAACGTTTAATAAAGACAGTTAAGAGTACAGTAGGAAGCCTATCAGACAATATAGTTCAATTCATCAACATTTCCTAATTGTTTTCAACAATAAGGACAAAAGGGAATTCTTTAATTGTTTCAATAGCTAATCCAGTGCATACTTCAACTATTGTTTCAGCGTTCAATCGCAACCAAATGCTAAAAATGAACCCCCCCCCCTCCCCCCCGGGGCGCCCTCCAAACAACACAAAAAAAATCTTGCAATAAAACTACAATCAAATAGAACCAAATCAAATGATCCAAAAAAAGGAAAAAACTTTGAAGCCAAAAATGGGATTCCGGAAGGACTGAAGCTAAAAAAAGATGGTCACTGAAACCTTTTCCATATCGATTAAAGGGGTCATAATGGAGACGAATTGCTCCAGAGTTATATTAGCAGCAGCTTTCTTCTTCTCATTATTGCTCTTTTCTCCTCCTCCTCTTCCTACTTTCTCCATTGATTTGATTACTGCTTTTCCCACTCTTCTCCAAAGGACGTAACGACGTTCTCTGGGTTTTAGCAGGCTTTTGGATTTCTTTCTCTTTTTTTTTTTTGAAGGATTTCTTTCTTTTTTCGAAACTTTTTTTCTTTTGCTTGATTTTGCCACTTCGGTGAGACCAAAGTGCCCCTCGAAATCGAATAGAGCAAGGTGGGGTAGGACTTAGCCACTTAGGACTAGGAGATTGTGTTTTGTGGCAAGAAAGAATCCAAATCTATTTGGAAAATTTTTCTATAATATATTGTATCACTTTTTTTAATATAATATAATACACGTGAAGCAAAAGCACAATTAAAAATATTAAATATTAGTTAAAAACGCGCTTGTGATGCAATAGATTTGCTTCTTCAAATAACTCGTGCTTAAGAAGAGTAGAGTAGTTCCTGAAGGTGCCAGTTTTCAATCCATAAAAGACTAAAAGCATCACTCTGTCTATAAAACCTTTTTTTTTTTTGAGGGAATCTCTGTTTATAAAACTTGAGAAGCATGTTTGGTGTTAAAAAGCTATGTCATTATTTATTGTTTCAAATATATCCCGCGTAAATGTTGCCACTATACTCTGCCATAACTCGTGCCAATGTATTCTTCTCACGCTAGATTTCCACAATTCAATAATCTACTAATTAAAAAGAAAATTACAAATGAGCTCCTTTCTTAAAAGAAAAAAGATAAAGATAAAAAAAACCCTCCCATTTATAAGCCTAATAAAATTTTCAATAATCATCAACAAATTATTTTTTTCCTTTACGAATTTTTTTTCATATGCACCCGCGTAGCATGTGCCATTTCCATTGGTTAATTTTACTCCTCTTTAATATGCCAACCAAAACAAATTCCAATGAAGCTTGTTATATTTTTAAAAAGGCAGCATATTCTTTTATTCCAATCCAGTTTACTAAAAACAAGTTACGTGCAATGCATGTCTCACAAAAGCATATTTCAGAAGAGCAAATGTGAACAAAAATTTCAGCCAATTGCATTCACAGCTAATGCAGATTCTCACGAACCAGGCCGGAGCGGCTCCAAGATAAGTTGGTTTTCAAAAGAAACATGCTGTGACTGAGAAAGAAAAAGGCACTGCACTAGGACTAAGTTGCTTTTGTCAACTGAAGATTTGTTATTTATTGCTAAAGTAGTTCTGCAAAACCAGGATACTAAGTTAACAGGACAACAACCGAAAACAAGCATTCGAATCTAATATATGCAGGTTGCTCTGCAACTGAATCATTCAAATACTGGAGCTCCCTAGAACCTTGTTGCCACCCTCTGCTGCAGCCACCCCAAACAACTCGAATTTGCTTTCTAATGTGTCTTTGCCTTCGACAATACATCAACCTACAGAATTTCCTTAAAGGCTCAACTTGAATGAGAATTCACTACATGGAAATTCAGAGCAGCCTTCGTAAATGACGAATACATACATAATGTCACCAAATTGATAACCTTAGCCATTCAAAAAATAGGGGCACTATTCCTGCCACGGCTGTGGCAAAGTGATAATCTCATCAAGGAGACCCTAAGCAGAGCTTCAAAACCTCATTTGTATATAAGGGAATCACGTCCTGGCCCGACACCAATGTAATGAATGGGTACACCCACAAGTTCTTCTATCCTTTCAACATACTGATGTGCAGCCTTGGGTAGATCCGAGTAGTTTCTGATAGAAGATATATCACACTGCCACCCTGGCAAAACTTCATATTCCACCTACATGTCCATAGCATAAATCAAACTAAGGTTGAAGATGAAAAAAAAAAAAAAAGTAATCAACATCCAGATGCTAATAGCTGAAAGACAACCAACTAGGAGGTGGAGCTATAGAATGTCAGAAATTAAGTAACCCCATTTGTCCAACAGAGTCAAGATCATCCAACACTCAACCAGAAGAGAAATTTATCCAGGCAGCAGACAATTCTTTTTAGGCATAGCTAAAAACAGTAGTATATGTTTTTCTTCTATGCAACTCTCGTGCTAAAGTGTAGCTCCACTAATGCTGAGGAATTATATCTTTTAAGTCATTTTCTTAAACTACCAAACTCACATAGAATACCCCATCCTCCTGCATTGGAAGGCATATTCATCCAGCTAACTATGTACAAAACTCTCTAACATTTATCCGGTACCACAATAACCCTCTAAATGAATTGACCTGAAGGACCTAGGTACCGAGAAATCATGTCAACTATTTAGGAAAAAGAGAGAGCTTACTTTGACTTGCTCCAAAACTCGAAGATCTGCAGGGAATGATTTGATTGGAGCACCATCAATTTGTCCATATGAAACACCTAACTGAATTTCAGGTAGATCTGATAAAACATCAAGTTTGGTGAGGTTCAGAGAAGAAAAGCCATTGATTTGGCAGCAGTATCTGAGAGCAACTATGTCAAGCCAGCCACAACGACGAGGGCGACCAGTTGTTGTGCCAAATTCTTGTCCAGCAAACCTAAGAAGGTCGCCACCTTTCCCCAAAATTTCTGTTGGAAAGGGTCCTGAACCAACTCTAGTAGTGTAGGCTTTAACCTATATTTGAAATGTTGGATAAAATAACAAATATGGTATGCTTAAGAAACATTATCTTATTGAAGAAAAGAGAAACTAAAATTCCACTTACCACTCCAATAAGATCACCAACTGCTCTAGGAGCAATTCCAAGACCAGTACAGATACCTCCAGCTGAAGGACTGGAAGAAGTTACAAATGGATATGTTCCAAAGTCAACATCTAACATGGTTGCCTGACCACCTTCCACTAAAATTTTCTTCTTTTGAGAGATAGCTTCATTCATGACATGCACAGTATCAGCGACAAAGGGTTCCAACCTCTCAGCAAATCTCTTGTACCGTTCAACTTCTTCCCTGAGCATGTCAGGGCCATAGTTAAAACCTTGGAACCTTGAAGCTGCATCTGATAATAAAAGATCAAGCTTCTGTGGAAAAGTATCCATATGCCTCAAGTCACTTACTCTTATACCATTCCGGATAACTTTGCTTGAATAGCAAGGTCCAATGCCTCTCCGGGTGGTTCCAATAAAGGATTTGGCAAGCTCAGCTTCTCTAAGTTCATCAACAACTTGATGAAAATCAAATAACAAGTGAGCACGATCAGATACCAAGATCCTTCCTTTACAAGAGACTCCATTAGATTCAAGACTGTCTATTTCTTTAAAGAATCCTGGCAGGTGCACCACAACGCCATTGCCAATAACACAGAGGGGTTCCTCATTAAGAATTCCTGAAGGAATAAGGTGAAGGGCAAATTTTTTGCCTTCTGAGTTATATATAGTGTGTCCAGCATTAGCTCCACCCTGACATTAAATTATGTAGTCATTTATCATTCATTAATTGATCAAGATCAAGAAAAGCTCCACAATGTAAACACTCATGCAAGGAGAAAGGCCTCCAATTCAAGTATTATGAGCAAGTACATCTCTATAGTACATCTCTATACATCTACACCCCATGAGAAACAAATGTAATTACTACACATCTGGGGAAGCTATATTAGATGCCAATTTTTGTGGGAAAGAATGCACTTTTTTATTTCTTCAGTAGAATAATTTATGCTATACATCTTCTATGACAAAAAGAACACTGTAAAACAACCAATAACAAAAAAAAAGATGTCAGCAGCATGTCATAAAAGGATTCATCATCTAGCCTTCTAAAAAGTTCAGCAACAAAATTTTGATGCCATAAGCACACACAAGAACTAAGAATTCTTATTTACTTGAAAGGTTAAACAAACATTTTGGGATAAAAAAATGAAGAATGTGCTTCTTGTCTTACACACTTCAGGCATCTTGATACAATTTATCTTCAAATTATCCTTTACTATCTTTGTGAAGGCCAAAAAAGATGTCCAATCTGCAGAAGAGGCTAAAGATACACTGACATCCAGTAGAAGAGTTTTTATTGGCCATTTGTGCCAAAGAGGAAAAAGCGAGTATCAATAACCAAGATCACACACCAAGAATGAAATTTTCAAACACAGAGAATGTTAGAAAGCATATTACTTTACAACCAACATATCGCTTTCAAGCTTTATCATGACAGGAATAAAAGCTAACGCAACAATCAAGCTGAACTTGTAAACTTTCCACAACTGGAAACTTAATATAAGGGTCTAAATGAGGCTAATCCAACATTAGACCAGTTAAGCATGGTCTAATTTCGTTTAGGAAGCTTTACTAGAGTTGGAGCTTGGCTTGATTATTCTGCAAGCAGCACCAACAAACTAACCAAACTAGCTGCAGTAGCTAAGTAAGTGAATTTCAAGTTCGAGACTTCAACAAAATCTTGTCAGGGCTGTGTAATTAACAAAGAACCAATTTCCAGCCAGTTACTAAACTGGAACCAAACTCGAGTAGATTATCAAGTAGCTTCATCCATGTTTCAAATATAATTCAATCATCAGGATCAAGATCCAAACTTTAACCCTCATTCGAATAATTAAAAGGGTAACCAAAATTAAAAGCTTCTTGCAATTTCAGCAACATTACCCAAAAAAAAAGGGATTGTAAGGTAAAGAAACGATTGTAAGTTACCTGACATCGAGCAACGACGTCGAAATGCTCAGCTAAAATATCAACGAGCTTTCCTTTCCCTTCATCGCCCCATTGGCAACCCAGCACCCCCGAAACTTGACTCAGGGACTCAATTCGACTCAGCCCACGGGCGCCCAACTCACCCACCTTCTGCGGCTGCTTATCCACCACAGCATCCACCGGCTTGGCTGCAGAGGAGCAAGCGGGGCTGAACTTTACCACTTTCCTCAGACCCGTCCCGCCAAAGGGAATTCGGTAAGATTGGGGTCCATTGAATGGGACTGCTACAGCTGCTCTGGTGGAAATGGAGTTAGTATCGAGTCTTAAAGAGGAGGACGATGAGAGGTTCATGGCGTCGGCGGCAGAGGTAGCGGCGGCGATGGCGCTGAAAATGAGAGTAAGGGGGTAAAGGTTTTGGAAAATCGAGAGAGAGAGAGAGAGACCGCTTATGTAGCCACCAGCCGGCCACCACTAAGCTATTCAAAGGGCCCACCGAGATTTCTTAAAAAATTACACACTCGTTCAGTCCCTATCGATCTCCTTAAATTCATTTGGATCTCATTAGATTAGAATACTATAAATAAAAATAATAATTGACAAAAAAAAGACTACTTATATAATTTTCGTACTAATAAATTTCGTTGTATATCCCAAATTAATTTTGGACAAGTTAGTAGTAAGAAAAAAATAATGAGAAAATGAAAATCTCGTTCTTAAAAATTGCATTCTCCTTGTAAAAGAGTTTAGGAAATAGTTTAACAAATGCAAATAATTCATGATCTCAAAATATTTGAATTGTAATTTTTTTTCAAAATTTTTTTATATTTTTTATAAACATATTTTTTAATTACTTTTTTATCTCACCTATATTAAATCAATCACTACACTGTATTTTTTTTTTTTACAAAAACTTCAAAAAATAATAATTTAAACGGATTTTAGTCTTTCTCTTCTAAAGAACTCTTGGAAAGAATTTGGCCAGTATTCTCACAAATATTCACACGAGGGCATCAATGCTTTCCTTTTGATATCTGGCTCTTATTTCTTCTTTATTCTTCTTGTTGTTTTGTCCTAATATGACTCTTATAAGTTATACAATGAAAATCATTCTTCTTTTGTTATTTTATCCTAATATACTTTCTTAGTTACAAATTAGTTATCACAACGAAAAGAGAAAAAGGAGTAATATCATCAAAATTTGATGTTATTTGACACTAAAAATGTTGCCTAAAAAAAAAAAAAAAAGAGAGAAGGCATTGCTCTAAAGTCCACTCTGCTTTATAGTTTCATTTTTCTATTCATATCAGAAGTTAATTACTCCAAGCATCAGATTCATTTAATAGGAAGACATTATGCTCTAGTCACACCATGTATTTTGCAGTTGAACTTTGCATATTATCAATGACATTAATATGAACTAAGCTTTTCTCCGGGACTTTTTTTTTTTAATAAAAGACTGTATTTTTCATTACTTCAATCATTGGAACGTATCCCTGCAACGGTGGATTGCTGTTTTATTTTCATCATTTTGATCTATATTTGTACAGAAAGTAGAATAGCTACCTCCATGTATACAAATGAGGAGAACAAACATTAAGATAAAGAGAAAAAAAAGATATTTCCAGTTCTGGAAGATTAACTAAACAGGAAAATTGTGTACTTCTGAAAATTCAAGTTCATGGGATGGAACTCTTCTTCGAGTGCTGTACGGTGGTTGCGACATCACCAGGGTATCATTCTCCAAGCCATGTCAAGAACCATCTAGCTTGCGATGATATCTCTATCTCTCTACTTTTTACATAAAGCATGGAAGGGCGATGATGAACAGTGCATCCCAATTGATTGTGTCGGTTATATTGTGATTTCATTGCTCATTTTGTCCTTCATGGTCTTTTGGGAGCTGCCGAGTTGCATGAGGACAATTCTTCCGCTGTTCATTTTCGTTTGCTAACTTTCTTTTGGACTATCTTGTCCTTTTGTCTTGGTTATCTTGTTATTTGCGGTTCATTTTTGGACATGTTCGTCTTTTTATCGCTCTGCAAGTCATCAGATCCCATGTTTGTCTCATCATTTTGCTCCCCACAATTTTGTCGGTGGCCTTAAACCAAGCGTTTTTTTTTTTTGTTCTGATCATTTTGGTTCCCGCAATTCTGCCGGCGGCTTTAAACCCAGTAAGTGTTTTCTTTGTGCTTATTTACCCGCAACGGATCTTCTGTCCCACATCCTGTGCCATTCTCTGTCCCACTTTTTATTATATTGCTATTTCTCATTCATAAACATCATGTTTTAATTCTTTTTTGCTTCCTTAAAATCCAATAACTATTAATTGAGTAATACACAAAATTTAACAAACTCAAAAAATCAAAATGCATAAAAAATGAGATTTTTTATGAATTTTCTGCTGTATTTTTTAATTTTCTATTATATATTGCTTTTTTGAAACTGTTGTATTTATTTTTACTTAATTAATAGTTATTGGATCTTAAGGAAACAAAAAAGAATTAAAACATGTTATTTATGTAGGAGAAATAGCAATATAATAAAAAGTGGGACAGAGAGTGGCACAGGGTGTGGAACAGAAGATCCGTTGCGTTATTTACCTGCCGTCGATTTTACTCCCCATTTTTTATCCATCTCCGCATTTGTTCATGTGGGTGTTTCACTGTTTCTTTTAGCAACTAAGCGGCTTTTTATATTATAGTGGTTGACGGGACACAAAGCATGCATGGCGCGCCTGTTTTGCATATACCTGGAGTTACTAGCTTGAAATGACAACCCTGAAATTTACAATACAATAAACAGAAGCCTAAATATTTCCATCTGGAGTAGGAAAGATTACAAGGGTTAAGATATAAGCATCCTGACCTCCAATAGAAGACTGTTAAATTCTGGCAGCAAATCGTAAACATATATGAGAGGCCTTTTCTTTGCCACTACAGCAGTTAGATTGTCTATTTTTCCAGTTTGTTTGTCACTATCTGGAATTTTGATCTGAGCTGGTCGAAGCCCCTTGGGCCATTCTGCAACAGAAGGAATACTCAATCTGTCCCGTACCAGCCTTTGTCACACTGCAGAAGTCACAATGAAGGGATCAAAAGAGACAGGTAAGGTCAAAATCCATGAGCATATCAGAGCCTGTGTCAATTTTGCAGCTAGACTGATATAAGTTTTGCAAAAGGAAACCAACAGTGAAAGCACACAAGTGGATTTCCATACATCAGTTGTGTGAGGATCTCATGCAGGATATACACTTTGGTTTCAATTTTTTAGTAGAATGTCATCTTTATACTGGGTTTTCCTGCATAAGAAACTGAGGAACACACTATGAGCTTATTGTAGTGTAGAGTATGTCAATGGCTACTGCTTGATAATATTCAGTACTATATAGACGAATTTCATGGCAGTACTGTACAGGTTCTTGTGCAGATCAAACTATAATTAGAATTTAAATTATTAAAATAGATATTAAATAAGTATAAAAGTTCCACACCCCTTGTAAATGATCATTAGTTTTACCTGACAAAATCCACCACGGCAGTACCCATGACCAGCACATTCGTTAATACAGACACTTTGTACAGGAACCTCACAGAATCGGCCCCAGAGGCCATCATACTTGCAATCACATTCTTCTTTGAAATGAACTTTACCATCATAAGCTTCCTTTGGATCCACGTTACACCATCCTCGCCTACTTCCATTAGTTGTGAAAATGTCAACATCAGCTTTTGTCCAATCAGCAAGAGATGGACCTCCAGGTTCAGAAGGCGGCTGAACTAATTCATAAGAGTCTTGAATCAGAAAAAAATTACGAGAGAACTCAAAAATATTGTTAAATCAAAGGATTAACTTATGCTTACATAATCACAAACCCACATCCCTCTGCAACAGGACGATTTGGGTATTTTGTGCCTTCTCCACAAAAGCACATTGCCCTTGTTGCGTCACAATGAGCTGAGCAAATCGACACAACCCATCGCCCATATGGGTCCTCTTTTGATCCAGAGTAATTACAATTTAGTTGCAGTCTTTCAGAGCATCCTTCCCCTGTCATCCATAGAGATCACAAGACAATATTGTTGGATGACTGCTGAAACAGCATGAGCATTCAAATTTCAGCAAACAGGAAATAATATGCTACCATGAATTGTTCTCTATCCAAATAACTCTAAATGAATTAGAAGCAGGGGAAACACCACTAGAAGATTCTGATTTTATTTTTAATATTTACAGGAAACTCATGTTATGAACTACTAGAAAATTTTAAAGCAGAACAGGGAAGAAAGTTTTATTTACTAAATTAACCAGAAAAGAAAATGTTCACAAGACAAATAAAAAAGAAAAGAAATCCTATAATGTAAACAAGCCAAATAATATCCTTTTACAGTCGTAGAGCACAAAACAAACAGAATGCAGCGAGGAAGATTTATTTGACATCTAAACACATGTGTCAAGTTCCCCATACAAGCACAGCCAAAACAAACTTCAACATTATCTGTTATTTTAATCAAGACTCACCACCAAACCCATGGAAGCAGCGACACTGACCCAGTTGCCTATTGCAGATGCCTTGCCCGCTGCAATCGTTTTGCAGCTCTTGCCACCAATTTCCTGATGCCGCAATATTGTGTTATATTAACAGAGTAGCATGAATTGGACTCAAACTCTAATAGCAACACAAGTTTTTAAAGGTTCAAAGTTAAAAACATCCAATGCAGCAACTGTACAGATGCATAATGCAAACTCAAATCCGTTGATATCAAAACTAAACATAGCAAAAACTTGAAAATAATCGAAAGTAAACAATCATATGCATGTCTAAGTCAAATGGTTGATTTATTTTCCAGAGAGGGGGACAGTTGAAGAAATCCTTGATGACCACAAATAAAAGTACCAGGACAATTTTGACAGCAGCAGTCTTTGAGTTGCAACCAGATAACCACCTCCCAATTTCTGCTTTCCATGGAGCACCACGATAGACAACAGCATTTCGTGAATCAGCAGGATATTGGATGTTTAAATCAACCATTGACTGTTGCTTTTGATTCTCATCGTCTTTGCCTCATTCAACAGGCCCACTTAATTGCTTGCTACCATCAGTTGAGCCATTCACCGGCATATTACCACCATCAGATATATTATTAGGGACAACAGTTTTGCCTTGTCTAGATCCATTTACTTGAATAGATGAGTTCTCAATCATGTCAACCTGCCTAGACCCAAAATTGTCTAGAGGACTCTCTGGAGAAAGAAAAAAATGAACCACTGTCACTAAGGCCACTACTGTAGCAATAACTCCTATCAGGGACCATGAGCTCCATTTTTGGAAGGTTAACATCATCCCTGAAAATCCTCTGCACCTTATGTATGCCCAAAGTCAAATCTTTGACTTTTACCAACCAATCTTCTACTTCATCCTCAGGCTTGTGGGACAGTTTTACCAGTTACCAACTTCAATTAGCCTCCGACAATTATTTTCCTATGACATTCCAGGAAATGTCAAAAAAATCATGAATTCACAACATACCCTGAGATACATAGTAAACAATCAAAACAGCCAAATTTCAGCAGATTAAGTCATCATGCAAAATAATAGGCACAATTTTGCATCATCACAACGTCTTTTTCATGAACAGAACTTTTTAATTTTGTCAAATGAGATGATCAATTGAGGTCAAGCCAACTCAAACAGATGGAAACATAGCAAAAGTTGCCAACTTTGGCAAACAGATTCCAACTCAGAGTGACTATTCTGTCCATCACAAAATGCGAATTCAAGAAAAATGCTGACTCTTCTGCACTAAGACAGCAGACCGGAGTGTGAAATGCCTTCTGCAGATCTCAATTAACCTCAATATTAATAGAATCAAGAACCCTTACCAGAAACCGTTCAATTCGATTGAAACACACACACTGAAAATTTTCAGCTGAACTTGAAAATACAAAAAATGCAGAAAATCCCATAAGTCTTGTTGAATTTCACACGCAAAAACACACACTATAACAGAAGTTAATAAAGGGATTACCAGTTGAATAGGGAGAAATTTGTTTGTATATGATGCAGCCCAGATGAAAATTACTGCCAAATTTTGAATGCTGACTTCGCATATGCATATGTGGGTGGGTGAATACATACATGTACGATGAAACAACAAAAGGGCTTGGTATAAACGTCTGAAACGTCTTATGTCCTTGTGTCCTTTGGTAAATATAAGGAAGCTGCCAAGTATTTTGGCTGGAAGTGTTTGAATAGAGCTAATCAGTGAAGGTTGGAATCTGGAAAGGTTCCAGTTAAAATGACAGAGAATACCCCTATTTCTGGCACGTTGCCAGTTGCCACGTGAATCTAAAGGGCAATTTGGGAATTTTATTTGGATATTTACAACAGCTTTTGGATATTTTTGACATTTACTAAATACATTTGCACTTTCTCAATATAATAAATTATAGTAACAGCCGTTCACGCCTTTATGCAGAACTCTAGTCAAGTGAGCTTGAGTGGACTTTTCTGGAGGAATTGCATTTAGTAGCTTACCTGGTGCTCTTCTACAATAAAATATAGCTCATGAACTAGTGCGTTTCACCCTTGCGTCGGCTCGATGGATTCGGGATAGTCTAATTAGGTCTCGAGATTGTATATTCGAATCATCTCTTTATTTTTTATGTATTTTTGAGGGGTGGAGTGCACAGACACAGGAAGATTAGTTTGACAAAATTGAAATACTTCCTGTGTTGAAAAAAAAAATTAGCACATTTCGCTAAAATATCTCATTCTGTTAAATTTTTGTGGAATTTTCTCCTACTTTTATTGAACAATTCATATTGGACAATTTCTAGCTAATTTAGGAATAAAATATTTTTTGTTATAAAGAAAAGGGCAAACTCGAAATGTTGTTTTGTTATGGTGGCAAATACACCCAAGATTGCATCCTTCAGAATAATAGGTCGGTCTGATTTTGAGTTTATTAATTGTGAGCTATAGTCTAATTTATGTTAATATTAGTCCCATTAATTTTTTGGTATTTTGCCTCCAATCTCATTATTCTATAAGTTTGCGTGTAAAGTGTGAATATCCCATTCCATATTAAAAATCATCTCATGATCCACTGTGCTAAATTGTATAAAAAATCGAATGGACTTCAAATTTCTAATAGGATTAAAACAGAGTGAAATAATTAAAACTCTTAGTCAATACCTTGGTATTTCACCGTTAATGTTGCTAAATTTTTAAAGTGAGTGAAATGAAACTAATGAAGTCAACTAATTTGCCTTTACTTGATGATGAATTAAAAATCCGCAACCAACGGATCTTGGTATAAGCAGAAAGGGCTTGCATCTCTTAATCATGAGGTCTCAGATTTAAGAATCAAAATCCATAAAAACGGAAAAGAAAACGTTGAGAGAGCTTTTCCCGTAAGGATCCGACGCGACTCGAACAGAATTAATAGACGGTAAAACGGATGTAAATACCTGTGAATTATATCAAGAGATCTTGTCAACAAATCCTTTTGAGCAGTTTTGATAATTTATATGTGTTTTAGTGAAAATCATGGGAGAGTATTAAGAGATAATTTATGGAGGTAAAGTGACATGTTTCTTGAATCCTTAATTAGCTGCTGGAAACTAATTAGTTTAAACATTCCCATAGAGTGTTAAAAATGATCTTCATGTTTATTACGTACGGACATCTTTTTTTATGCTGTCAAATTAAAGAAAACAAAATAGTTTAGTGTTAATGCCAGAAACAAAACACCTCGTTGAACTTGATTTTGGGGTTTGCTTCTCCTTACAAAAATGTTGAGTCCAAACAATCTCATGTTGAATCCCAAAACTAATAAAATTTTAGTTGTGGTTTTGAGATCTTTACCAAGAGATCAAATTTCAAAGAGGCATTAAAAGGAGAAAATGTTAGGGAGTACCAGTCAAAACTTTTTATTATTCAGATGCATGCAATTTAAAGAATTCATCCACAAATTAAAGCAACGTAAAAGGGTTATGATTATTGTCTATTACAGGCTGAAAGGTGGCAATGGCATTGACTTTTCTCCTCCAACGGAAATACATGTAGAATGTTTTTCAATTAGTGCAGCCCATGCATCACAAGAAATATCGACTGAAATGCTATGACTTACAGCTTGATGTCATAACTTTAGCAGCATTGATATTAGAGATTAAGCACAGATAAAATAAAATAAAAAGAGTTTGTTGTTAAATGAATTAAATTTGAAAGCTTTTGTCATTTCAACACGTACAACGTATTTGACTAAATGCATCCGTGTACATTAATTCTAGCTTGTCGATCGAGTTATTGCTAGCTTTTCTGAGACCTTCCCCTAAGGATTAGTAGATTTTTTTTTTAATATGGTAGTAGTTTTGTTCTTAATTTTTCAATTAATACTATATGTTTGATTTTATTCCTTTTCTCCACACATCTTCATTAGTAATTTTGTTCTTAATATGTATGTATGTATATATATATAGAATAATCAGGATACGGCATAGGGCGGAACTGCAATTGACACATACGCAATCTAACGGGGTCAATCGAAGGGAATATGCTCCAACAGAATTTCTACATTTTTCAGTCAAATAAATCTGTCAAACCGGCTCTAAATCTAAACATTTCTTCTTCTTTGTTTCAAGTGTTTTCTATAAATAGAAGTATGTCCGTTACTTGGTTCGTCCTTTTGGCAAATGATGGAGTAGGAATTTCCATTAAGAATCAAGGGGCGAAGGTGGTTTTGTTGCTTCAGTGGAAGCAACTTTGGACGTCTGAACGAAGTCCTTGTACCAAGTGGGAGTATAGCGAGCAGGATGAAACTCATCAACCAAAACTTTTGCTGGTTCTACAATGGAGTTGTGAGAAGGATTGATGGAGGTGGCAATGCTTGTTCTGGCTTCATATGAATCTGTCACCGCTCGATGTTGTGCGTTCTTGAGCTTCCCATTACTGATAATCTCTAGCTCGTTACCGATGTTGATAACAAGGGCATTAGGAAGAGGGGCGACCCCTATCCACTTCCACTTTCCATAATGCAGAACTTGAAGTCCACATGCATTTCCTTCCTGAAGGAGGATGGTTATTAGGCTGGGATCGCAATGCTTTAACAGTCCCAAGGTCAAGCTTCGGTCCGGGCACGGTGGATAATAGTTGCCTACCACCGATTGAACTTTGCTCAACTCTTCCAAGTACCCAGCTTCCAGCCCCAATCCTTCACATATTAGCTCCAGAATTCTTCCACTCATTTCTACTACGTATGTTGCAACCACGTCTCCATACCGGCTTGGTTTTGGAGGCCAACTTTGCATGCATTCCTCCAGGGCCAGGGAGACAAGAAAGTTTAACATTATCCCTCCACAGATGAATACCATCTTTTGCAAAATTAGAGCTGTCCAACTTAAATCTCCATCAGATGCACTAGAACCCTTCTTGTCTTCTGCAGACATGTTGAAAAATTCCTTAAACACCGTACTCGTTTCCCTCGCCACATCTTCAGATACTCCATGGTTGATCACCTGGAAAAATCCATATTCTTGACCAGCTTCTACAATTTATTGGACTATGCCCAATTTTTCTGGACTTGTAATTGCCTTTTGGAGGTCAACTACGGGGACTGTGCCGCAAGAAGGAATGGGAAGCCGTCCTGATCGATCCTCCAGCGGAAAGCCGTAATCACCAGGCACGGATTGCACATCAAATCATCGTAAAACTCGTGGCTTCTCCATCGATCACAATGTCGCAGTACCTTAAGTTTAATTGAGCATAATCCAAATCTAACGACCGATAATGCTGAAATACATACAATATAGCAGTATTGTAAAGTGACCACTGATTAGTGCATGGAGAATTTCTTGTGCAAAACCTGGCCACCCCTCAGGGTTAATTCCACTTTGCACCATTTAATCATATCTAGATTATTATTTTGGTTCCTAAATTTTAAGATGCCACATTTTAGTTCTAAAGTATAAAATCACTGGAAAAAGAAAAGGGAGAGTTGGTCTTATGAATAGTACTCATGGTCACTCATGCACACCATGAGTAGGTAGGCTTGACTGGTATTTTACATTAATTAATGCTACGATAGAAATTGTTTTGTGCATAACAAGTTATATTGTGTGGCCCAACTTTGGATTTTATTATCATATTGCCACTATATGTCAATTTTTCCCTTTATCATTTGACAAGATGTAGAATGTTTTGAAAATGGACCGGGCCGGCTGATTCGACCAGTTGAACCACGAACCAATCATACCTCCGGTCCGATTCAATTAAAAACCCAAAGAATTAATTGAATCGGTTAAGAATCGATTGAACAAGTAAAAACTGGTAAAAATCGGAAGGTTCAACCGATTTTTATTAAGCCATCAGCAGGGAGCTTAGCTAGTAATCACATGCGGTAATATCCCGCAGGTCACCAGTTCGAATCTTGCCGCGCAAAATTACTGTACATCCTTGGGCGGGGCTCTGTATAGTTCAGGAGATTAATCTGGCAATGACTGGGATATCCCTGTATTGACAAAAAAAAATCGATTTTTATTAAGTATTTATTTTCTAAAATAAATATTTTAATTATATTCAAAATTTTTAATACTAAGATGAATAAAAAACTATTAAACCTTTGAACCGAAATCGAATCGATTGAACCGATCGAACCATGAACTGGAAGGTTTTCCAGTTCACTTCTCGGTCCGGGTTTAAAAACGATTTCATGTAGTGTTTTAACTTTTAATCCAACGTTGTGTCAGTGGCTCTGCCATGGTATATCCACGGCGCCTCGCTTTGGTCCGGCAGACATTGACTTTTCTCTCATGTAAGTAGTACAATTTTCTTTCCCGATAATTAGTTGGTGATAAATTCATAAAACTTTGATAGTAGTTGTTGTTTTTTCTTTTTTTTTTTTCTCTTATTTAATATCATCTTATTTAATTTAACAGATTGTGAAGATTAAGTAGGAAGTTAACTAGGATTTAGGCCTTTCTATTAATGATTTCTATAATTTTTTATTACATTC